GTAGTATACCTACACTAATAATACTAGGAAGTAAGTACGTTACGTAGGACGTATTACTATTCGCTGATATATATATATATATATATATATATATATAGGTTAGCTTGGATATAACTACAAGTGCAGCCTATACCATAGTGACAAAAGTTTTTGTATCTCTGCGAACGAGCCGCAAAACTTCAAGCGCACACTTCGCAATGCACTCGCTCCCACACACCTACCAGTTGCAGCCCAGAAACTTCTTAGAGATGGAGCACACGAACAGCACAATCCACACCGACGTCAGCACGGCCACCTTGCGTAGTGGAATGCTCATGTGCTGCTCAATGGTCTTCACATACTGTGGGTGTAGGTGTCCGTGAGGATGGGTGGGACTGAGTCTTGTCAGGTGGTCATGGGCAATGGGTGAGCCTCTATCAGGGCAAGGCTGTGTGCGCGTACGTACTAGCTCTGGAGTCAGGTGTTCGTGTGGCTATCGAATTGTCGCATGTTTTAACAGGTGTTGAAGTATGACAGTCATCGCAAACACTATGACAGTCATCGCAAACACTGTCACAGTGCTCGTCAACACTTCATCAAATAGTGGTACTGGACTACTAGTGTAGTAGAAGTATTAGACTACTAATGTAATAGTAGTACTAGACTAGTAGTCTAGTAGTAGTACTAGACTACTAGTCTAGCTGTAGTACTAGACTCCTAGTGTAGTAGCAGTACTAGCCTAGTAGTAGTACTAGACTAGTAGTCTATGCATTCGATGGGTATTACAAACAGCACGTACTGACTAGGCGTTGTGCTGGTGTGCCTACAGACTCTGCTAGATGATACAAACAAATACAGTATGCAATAGACATTCACGCTCACATCACAATACGCTGGGCACTCTATTCCTGTCGTCAGCCCATAAAATCCTAAACCCTAACACCACTATCTACCTCGTCGTATTCGGCTTTAGTTGCAATCGCAGTTTTGGGATCGTATGACGGCACCATCGCTGGTGCATCATCGTCGACAGCTGATTTGTAGTATGTGTATATTAAACAGTAGCGGTGAAACGATAGTGTGTAGTCCGTGCACGCTGACTGTATGCTAAATACATATTGAAATTAGTCCGTATTAGTATATAAATATAAATATATATATATAACTATATTTTATTTATATATA